AAATAACAAGTGGGTAGGGTTTTTCAATTCTGGAACAGGTGATGTTTTCTTAGTGTAGTTTACACTAGTATTTTGGAAATGATCGTATTACTCGTATTGTTCATATTGAAAGAAACTCTAGGATCCTTTTAAATGAAATGTAAGTGCACACAGGTTTTAGTGGCGGAGGGTTTACGTTCCAGGTTGAAGCCGTTGAGGGTTTCTCATTGAGTTTATAAAATGTCTGGGTGGCCCTGTTGGTTTTCGAACTTGGGTACTGAATTGGATCGTATTGACTTGAGAGTGTATCTTCCTTGGGGTGAAAATCTCCTAAATTATTGGATCGTATGTGCGTATGGATCGTATTGACCCTGAGTGGTCCATTAGGATTATTTACTCATCGATGTGGCACTATATTGATGATGTAACCGTATTATTGTTTTCAAACCTAATTGTTTTCGCTCGACTTTTACTATTTATCATATAGATGTATCAAATGATCGTTTGGATTTTTCCCAATAATGCTAAACTATACTATTTTTAAACTCATTTGCTTGGAAATTGAGTTACTTTACTGAGCTGTTGATGCTCACCGTACATTATTTTCCTTTTTTCCAAATTATGTGGTGGTGAGAAAGCCCGCGTAGGTTTAAGTTGTTGATGTTTTCTTTGTTTTCCTTAGTGAAAATTTGAAGATGTGTTATGTTATAAGGGTTAAGTTGAAAGAATATTGTATCTGAGATGTGTAAGTTGTAATGGTTTGGATGTACATATAATTAATGTATATGAAATTAGTATTAGAGTTTAATCATTATTTGGAAACTGTATTATTTAGTGATTGCGAAGGTTATTAGAGCTCTTGAAATATTAGGAAAATGGATGAGAGTTTTATAAATTTTGTATTTAAACATCACTGACACTCTCTGTCATTAAACCACCATTTATAAAAAAAAATAAATTATTTAAAATATCAAAATTGCCCCTACATAAACTTCAAATAATTTTTTTACATAAAATTTGATTAATATTCAAGTTGATTAAATTTTTTTTTTACACATTAAATTTGATCAGATTAATTTTTTTTCTACATATTAAAATTTGAGTTAATTAAAATTCGATTTGAACTGATTAATTTTTTTTTAAGTATTAAATTCGAGCTTATTAAAAGTCTTTTTTTTACGTATTAAAAATCAAACCAATTTAAGCTCTAATTAAAATTCATGTTAAGTTAATTAAAATTTATATTTTTTATTTATTAAAATTCGATTTAAGTAGATTAAATTTTAGGTTTTTACATATTAAAATATGAGTCGATTAAAATTTCATTTTTTTATGTATTAAAATTTGAGCCGATTAATATTTGATTTAAGCCTCGAATAGAATTTTAATTGACTCAAATTTTAATATATAAAAAAATATAATTTTAAATTGACCCAAAATTTAATACATAGAAAATAAATTTTAATTAACTCAAATTGAATGTTAATAGATTCAAATTTTAATACATTAAAAATAATTAAAAAATAGATAAAGTCTCATAAAACATATATCTATCTAAAGAGTAGGTGAATGACATTTTTCTTAAAATATAGGGTTAATTGCATTAAAGGTCCCCATAGTATGAGATTTGTCTCATCTTTGTCCCTAATATTTCAACTGTATCATTTTGGTCTTTAAATTGTTGAATATGTTTTAATATGGTCCTTCAAGTAAACAACGTCGAAATTTCTAACGATTGTTTTATCATAAATTTATTACATAATAACTAAATATGAATAAAAAATAATTTTGAATGCTCTTAAACTAAATTTGGGTAGTTCTTCATAAAAAAAAATGTACAATATAGGTAGTTTTTGACCAAAATTTAGATAATTTATGATCAAAATTGTGTAATTTAAATAGTATTTAACAAAAATTTGAGTAAAAATTTGACCAAGAGTTATTCAAATTATTTTTATATCTATATTTAAGTATCATATGATAAATTTATAATAAAAAATTGTTAGTAATGTGGATACTGTCTACTTAAAAGACTATATTGAAACATATTCCATATTTCAAGGATAAAAAATAATGTAATTAAAATATTAAAATTAAAATGAAACAAATTTTGTACTTTGAAAACATCTAATGTAATTAATCTTAAATTATATCATACAAAATTTAGTAAGTATAGGGTGTTGTAGCCTTTTCCAAAAAAAGTATATGAGAGAGAATTTGTTTTGCAATCCCAAGAAAAGGTCAGAACAAGAGAAGTCCAAGAGGAAGTGACGGACACTCGCAAAATTGTGGGAGCAGAGAGAAGTGCATTTCTTATTACTCGTTGTTAGACTTCCCCGTTCGAAGAGCACAAAAAAACAATCCCTGGCACCAAACAGCCGACAGGCGGCCCAATACATTTTAGGGCTTAAAATGAAAGCGATAAATAAAGTCTTTTATTTTTAATATTAATAATAAAATTATTTTTAATTGTTAAAAAATATAAAAATATTTATTAAATTTTTTATATTTAAATGTTTATCATAATATTTGAACTTGATAATAATAGTAAGAAAGAATAATAATAAATTATGATAATAAATTTTTTTAGTCATAAATTGATGATAAGTTCAAACTCAACTTTTTAGAGTGTTAAGACAAAATTTTTTAATAATTTTTGTTTTATTGTTATTTTTTTTAAAAAAAAAAAATTAGACTCTTTTAATTGGGCTTGTGTTTTTATAAAATCTTTTTATCGGGCTTAAAGTATTTATAAATTTAATTTTTTTATATGAATTATTTATAATATCTAAAAATTTAGGTCTTTCCTTAAAAATTGGACCTAAAGCCTACGTTCTTTTTTTAACTACACTGTTGAGCCGCCCAGACAGCCAACTCTTGAATGAATCTTTCACCTCCTCATATGCTTTCCATTTCTACTGAAATTGGTTTTTCTCCTCCATGCAGACCAGATATTTTCAGCATTTGATTATTACTTTTATGGTAAAATTATATATTTAAAAGAGAAATTATAATTACTTAATAGAAGACTATAATCAATTATAAATTATAATTTATTTTTTAAAAATTATAAATTTTAATGCCGTCAACAGTGCGTATCCTTTCCCGTTTGTTTGAGTCGTTGCAAGGAGAAAAAAAAAGTGTGCAAATGCTTTTAAAATTAACGAAGTTTTTTTTCTTGTCGGCTATGTATGGATCAATGGTACTTTTCTTGTCGGCTATATATGAAATATTTGGAGCAATAATACGTATTTAAGTTTTAAATTTTGGATTTTGTTTGAGTTATATAGTATTTTTCAATAGTAAAAGACCGGCACGGGTGGCTGAAAAACTTTATTAAAGGGCGAATAATGTAGTAGGTAAAGTGTGTGTCTCATATCTCTCCCCCATGTATAGAGATTTTACAATTTATAAGCACAGCGCCATAGTTGAGATAGTGACGTGAACGCCAAACTACTAATCTTTTTGAGGATATCTATAATTAAATATAGATACTATATTCGAGCAATGACTATCTAAATGATTACTTCTCACGTGCATTGACCTTCTTAGGTCTCTTAATATGGGATTGGGCTAAGAACATGAGTTGAGGTTGATCTGTCTTTTTGTCTAATTGAGCTTAACCTACAAATTGAGCCTGAGCCATCTAGATTTGGGCTCATCACATATATATATTATCCCAAATACACAAATCCCCACTCACTCATTTATTAATCTATATAATAAACTATAATAGATTTTGAAACCCAAACTTATAAAATCGTTTGAACGTCCTAAATCATTTCAAAATTATTAATCTGACAAACAATATTGACACTTGAAATATTTTTCCCGCCCATAAGTTTACTGTTTTTTGAGTCCTTCAATTATGGGATCTAATCCTACCTATTTTCGACATCACACTTTGATTTGATGTAACTTGATTTATTTTTTTTTCTTAATTTTACATGGCTAGGACAATTTCTTGTAAATATTTTTTTATGATTTTCAAATTTTTTTTTCAAAATCATATAAATTAATTATTATGAGAAGAAACAATGGCAAAGATGACAACGGTGATCAAAATTTACCGCTGAAACAAGAATGAGAATTAATTGCTAACAGGATGAATCGAGAGTGATGAATATTTTTGAAACAAATATAAAGGTGGGGATTACTCTCACACCCCACCCCTCATCCATTCCACTGCCATTCCTAATGATGATGCACAAATTGAGTTTGTACATCACTTGTTAGATAAGCAGTAGTAAATGCAGTAATAAAGAGAGATAAATAAGATAAAGTTTATAGTAGTTCGGTCAATGTTACCTACGTCCACTTTGAATGGCTAGGATCGACAGATATTTTATTACTTCAAGTGTGTAGGGAGAGCAGAGAATTCCAAACTTTGAGAGGGAGATGAGAGTTGTGCTCTATTGAGTGTGATCTGTCCCCCAAGTGTTTGTAAGGCTTACAATTTATAGACACCTCTTAACAAATTAGGGCGACTTAATAGTAACTAAATAGTTAATCTAATGGAGCTGCCGATCTTTTCTCAACGGATGAGGTAGTTACAGTGCTCTCCATAAGATTCGGTCAAAGGATGAGATGGTGGTTGACTTCTTCTAAGGTGGCGTGGATGAGGCTCTTGGGATGACACTTACTCCAAGGTGGCTTGGATGAGGCTCTTGGGATTACCCTTACTCCAAGGTGGCTTGGATGAGACTCTTGGGATGACCCTTACTCCAAGGTGGCTAGGAGGAGGCTCTTGGAGACCTTGCTTACTTCCTTGATAAGCTTGACCAGGTGTGGACCCCTTTGGACTAGATACTGGATCTGTATAAGTTTGGGCTCTTAATTAAGACTAGGCTTGTAGCACGAGTTAGGCCTTTGGGCTTGGCCCATCATTTGTCCCCCAAAGCCCCATGTCCAATGAAACTTGGAGAATGGGGCATTTGGTTGAACATCTTGGCTGGTGGAGAAGATGTGCAGAGGTTTGCAAATCTTGGTGGAAAACTCGAAGAAATTGGTGTGGTCCCTAGAGAGAAGAGGGAGGCGATGGGCGCTGGGGTGGAGGTGAAGACCCTGTTGGACGTTGTTACTGTCCATGCGTGGGGGTTGTTCGATATGGACCTAGGTTCCACTGTTTGGGCAATGACGAGGAGGACCTGCTAGCTGGGCACGTAGAAAGGGCTGTTGTGCTAGCTGGGCGTATTGGAGGGGCTGCTACGCTAGTTGACCACTGGAGGGGCTACTATGCTAGCTAGGCGCGTAGGAGGGCCGTTGGGCGAGCCTAGCGAGATGTTGGTCGAGCAAGCTGCGCGCGATGAGGTGGCTATGCCAGATGGATGGGGCTTGGAGAGAGAGGCAGTTTGTTTGCGTGAGAGCAAATACAGAGTTTGAGGATTGCTTGTGAGAAAGATATACCTTTTGAGACCAAACTTTTGCGACCCGTGAGAGAGCCGTTAAGTTGTAGGTTTAGGCTGTCTCCTTGAGAGCAGAGCAAAGGTAGACCAAGTTTTTGACGACCTGCGAGAGAGTCACTTAGTTGGAGATATAGGCTGCCTACTTGAGAGCAGAGCAGAGAGAGGCTAAGCCTTTGGCGACCCGTGAGAGAACTGCTAAGCTGAAGATATGCTGCGTACTTGAGAGTAGAGTAGAGATAGACCAAGTTTTTGGCGACCTGCGAGAGAGCTGCTAAGTTGGAGATAGGCTGCCTGTTTGAGAGTAGAGCAGAGATAGACCAAACTTTTGGCGACCCATGAGAGAGCTGCTAAGCTGGAGATAGACTACCTCCTTGATAGTAGAACAGTGATAGGCCAAGCCTTTGGCGACCCGTGAGAGAACCGTTAAGCATGAGATATATTGACTCTAGGGTTACCCGCATGAGAGTAGAGGCAGAATTTGAGGGTTAGCCCACGAGAAGGTCACCAAGCTAGAGGCTCATTCCAATAGATTGAGATGAGGTGCTAGGCGCTTGCTACTGGGTGCCTGGTCCTAGGTCTTCTTGACAATCTCTCTCCTCAAGTAATGTGAGCTCAGCCACAAAATATGTTAATGTCTATGCCTTTGTGACTTCTTTTTTAAGAGTCGGCTGCATGTGGTGATGATGATGGCGAGAACTCACCTCACCTGGCTTTGGTGACATCATTGGCATTTATGTATTTATGAGCTTTTATCCATAATTCTGGTATTCTCTTGGGTGGGTGTTGCATCACTGAGAAGAGAACGCTAGATGAGTGTAGGCCTCCCAAGAAAGCAATCATGGTGACTTTGTCATCAGGACTCCTCAATGTGAAGGATCTCCTTGTTAAAACAAGTAAGGTAATTTCTCAGACTTTCATCCCGGTCCTATTTTATACTAAGCAAGTGAGTGGCAAGCTTCTTGTGGCAGCGCCTTCCAATGAAGTGTGACACAAATGATCTACTTAGTTCGGAAAAGGAGCCAATAGATGTTGGGATGAGCTTGGCGAACCACTGATGGGCTGATCGCTTTAGAGTAGTCGGGAATGTCTTACACATGATTTCATCAGGGACATTGTGTAGTTGCATCAAATACTTATAGGTGTCGAGATGATCTAGTGGGTCTTCTGTACCATCAAAAGCTTCCACCGATGACATTCTGAATTTCTAGGGAAGTGGGTAGTTTACCACATTGGCTGCGAAATGCGTGTCTGTTCACCTTATGAGATAGTCCACAGTCTTGGGTCCTTGTGCCTTTATGGCGTTGAAAACATCACCCAGTTGATTCTGCACCTCTTTGATTTTTTCGTCCCTGTGATTGGGGCTCTTTTGAAATTGTTATGAAAATAACTCTCGTGCTCTACACTTTGATTTTTGCCTTTATTCTCTTAAAAATGAGGGTTTTCACCATGGAAAGGGGGAGTTGGAGGAGGAGGAGGTGGAGTTATCTCATAGTTCTAAGGAGGGGATCCCTTGTGTGGGGCGCCCAAGGGGGCTCCAAAGGGGGTGCCCAAGTAGGGAGTTCCTTGACGCCCAGAGCGTGGAGCTCTATTGGCTTGATGTTCTCCAGGCTGTGCACCGCCTTGTTGTCGTGCGAGCATAAGTTGCAGGATTTGCTGATTCTGAGCTACAAGATGTTGCATTGTCTCCAGCATCTGTTGTGTATTTGGAACATGATTGATTGGTGGAGGAGCAACCTCCTCCTCTCATGATGGATTGACTTCAGGATGATTCATAAATTTGGTGGTGATTACCATAGGTACAACAAAGGAAGTGTATTGAAGTAAGAATTTTGACTTTCCCATAAATGGCACCAAAACTGATTGTATACAAACTTGGTTTGTATACCACTTATTAGATAAGCAGTAGCAAATGCAGTAATTGAGAGAGACACAAACAAGACAAGGTTTATAGCGGTTCGGTCAATGTGACCTACGTCCATTTTGAATGGTTAGAGTTGTCGAATATTTTATTATTTCAAGTGTGTAAGGAGAGCAAAGAGTTACAAGCTTTGAGAGGGAGATGAGAGTTGTGCTCGACTGAGTGTGATCTACCCTCCAAGTGTTGGTAGGGTGCTACAACTTTAGTATTGATCACCCAAGTACAGGTTGTGCGAAGTAATATAATACTCGGGAGTTCGAAGTCGAACCATAGGGAATTTGAAAACAACAACAATCACACTAATACTATAACAATCTTGTAACAATGATTTGTTTAAAAGATTATTGAATTGAGGAAATTAATTAAAGTAATTAAAATAGTAAAATAAAAATACTAGAGCATCAGGTACTCCCTCTCAATTTCATACAATAATGATTAAAGACTTAATTCTTAACTTTAGATAAGAATTAAATCTCGGTTGATTCAAGTCATATAATTAAGCAATAAAACCACAATTTATAATCAAAGAATTATTTAGGAACCAGAATAATCATCCAATTATATTATTATGTGAAATAATGACAATCAACTTAAACGTGGAATAACCAATTATTTACTCGCTGTGAAATTCAAGCAATTAATGTACATGACACAATAACTCTAGGATTTTTACAGAGCAAAAATTTTGCTAAGAAATCAAAAGTTGAATTAACAAAATATCACATATTATTGAGCTTAGAGTTGATAACATTACCGTACTTCATTGACAGGTCCTCCCCTAGCCCTAGCTAAACCTTTTAGTTAGACATGATGAACTAAAATCAAAATAAAAAGATAGGAAAAAGAATAATAATCTCTAAATGAGAACCCCTATTTATACTAAAAACAAATTCTAAGTATAGGTAGAAGATATAAGGTTGATTTGGAAAGAATTCCTTTCCCAAAAAGAAGTATTGTAAGGTTAAATCACGTGCATAAAATCTTTGGGGTGATAGTACAAAATCTGTTCAGACTTCGATGTTGGATTTCGCATATTTAGAGATTGATTCACGCAAATTTTGTGAAATATATTTTATAGCCCTTGAAGTCTTCATTCTAACCCCCAAAAATCAAGTAAATCGAATATCAAAGTCAAAATTTATGGCTAAAATACTGAAGACATGTCAAATTTTTATCTTCTAGGATACTTTCTTAATTCAACTCTAAATGAGTTTTCTTCCAACGTAGACTCTTATAAGGATTAAATTGCTGTCATATCTTTAAGTCTTCCTATTTCAATTTTGACTCTTCAATCATTATTAATTGTGATTCTTCCTCTAGAGATTGTTTCACTTGTCTTATCCATTATTACTTTAAATCAATCAATTTACCTGCAAAATAAACTAAACAATTAGAAAAAGTATCAAACTAAAAAATTAAGAAATTTAAAACATTTAATCACAAATAATATGCAATTAACTAATAATTAAATATAATAAAATAACAATTTTGATAGTTAATCATACCTCCCAACTTGAATATTACTAGTCTTTAGTAATACATGGATCCTAAAATATAAAAGCTAAAAATAAAATAACTTAACAAAATAAAACACAAATCCACTTTCGTAGGCCTCACGATTGAATTTAGCATATACAACAAGCCTTTAAACCCCTAAGTTCTCCCTAGTACACGAGTATAGTCTCATGATGGTTTCCAAATATGATACCCACAAACATCACCTTGTGATCAAATATCTGAATAATAATTTTATAACACAAATTGCTACTACAATATAAAAATTCTAAGACACAAGCCTTTCCATAAGCAGATGCAAAATAAAATATAGAATTTTACGCTATATAAATGTATACACTTATTATGTTCCCATATAAAATCATGTGTAGTATGAATTAACTGTATCAAGTTAGCAATTTGTCTGATAATCACCTCTACAACCATTAACTATTCGTCTCAATGTCAAAACTCACTAAATAATTCACTCATAAAAGATTCTCTCAGATTATAGTGACTATTCCCTTAAATATCACATGTGAGAAGAAGATATTTAAATCAAAACAAAATAATGCTCACATGTCTATTAAAAAAAACATGATTCAAAAAAAAAGGATTTGACATAGTCTCATGAAAGGAAATCAAGACACAATATATAAACAATCGCTATTCTTTTCTTTATTCACATAATTCATGCATCCATTAATACACTCTTGAGATCATATAGGACTTTATTTAAGATTATAATGGGCCTTGGGATTAGGGTTTTGATACGAAGGATATTCAAGAATTCAAAAAGCTATCCCGAGAGAACATATACATTACATAAACCAAACTTTTTTTTTCATAACCTTTCACTCTCCATTATTTAGAAGCATAATTTACAACATTTGCTCATATTTTTTTTTAAAATCATGTTTGCTATTTTTTTTCTCTGTTTTTTTTCAATCTACTTTTTCACAGCTAGATATATTGTCTTTCTTTTTTCTTTTCAACTTTTTCTCTCACTCTTTTTTTTTTTTTTTTACAGCAAGACAACTGAATGTATATACTTTTTTTTTTTAGCAAGACATCTAATACAAATATTCACAAGTATGCAGAACTTTTTTTTTTTAATCATCTTTTTTCAACAAAAATCTCCCAAATTATATAAACAATAAAAAACTCAATTTCGGGATAACCAAGGGTAAATGATATTATTTTTTTTCATTGGCTTAGTTCTTATATGTTGGATATAAGAAATAAATTTTTTTGCTTTATAGGCTCAATTATGGCTTCTAGGGATAATAATATTCAAAGAATAATGTTTAGACTCAAATAATATCAAAGATGACCTAAAATCATATCTCAAGAATTTTTTATAACACACTTTTCCATGCAAATAGTTTAAAGTCAAGCAATCATTCATAATATTGGTGTTAACCAAACA